GTTGAGATAATGGGACAATTCCTTCATGGCCGAAGAATGAAGCGACCTCTAACTGTAAACAAGCATTAGTTTGTTTGTTTTTGAATTTCGCGCAAAGCTAAACGAGGGCTATCTGCGCCAGCCATTCCTAATTTAGCAGTGTAAGACTAGAAGGAAGGCAGCTACTCATCACCACCCACCGCCAACTCTTGGGTTACTCTTTTACCAATGAATAGTGGGATTGACCGTCACTTTATACCGCCCCCACGGCTGAAAGGGCGAGCATGTTTGGTGGGACGGGGATTCGAACCCGCGACCCTCAGATTGCGAGTCGAGCTCCATAACTATCTGGCCATGCCGGGCCCTCTTATGTTTAACAAACATGGCATTCACCCGCCTGGGTCAAACGGTTTGTTTGGTGCTTGTTTGATAAAAGTTAGCGCAAAGCTACATAAGGTCTATCCGTGCATAGCCGTCCCTAATTTTGATCTGACAGGCTAGAGAGAGAAAGCAACAAACCAAGCACCCACCGTCAACTCTTGGGCGCCTTATCCACCTGGCCATGCCGGGCACAAGCATTAGAAAGTTTAAAACTCCGTATTTCCCTACCGGTATTAGTGGTTCGGTGGATGTCATGGTGTATGACGAAAAAGCACGTGATGTTACCAAGTCACTTTATGTCCTTAAAAGGTGCAATGATTTCAGACACTAATATACATGCATGAGAAGGTGCAATGATTTCAGACACTAATATACATGCATGAGAAGGTGCAATGATTTCAGACACTAATATACATGCATGAAAAGGTGCAATGATTCAAAACACTAATATGCATGCACGAGAAAGTGCAATGATTCAAAACACTAATACGCACACATGAGAAGTTCAGATACTAATATACATGCATGAGAAGGTGCAACGATTTAAGACACTAATATACATGTTAAAAAAAGTAAATGTTTAGTAAAATGATCCAGTGTATATATACGTATAATCAACGAATGAATCAATATGATACATGCATGTATATTAGTGTTTTAAATCATTGCACCTTCTCATGCATGCATATTAGTGTTTTGAATCATTGCACTTTCTCGTGCATGCATATTAGTGTTTTGAATCATTGCACCTTCTCGTGCATGCATATTAGTGTTTTGAATCATTGCACCTTCTCGTGCATGCATATTAGTGTTTTGAATCATTGCACCTTCTCATGCATGCATATTAGTGTTTTAAATCATTGCACCTTCTCATGCAGACACGAATACCATCTGACCCTCATAACTGCAAGAACGTGCGATTGGATTATGGATAATGTGACCGACAATGTTTGTTTGGAGCGCAAAACTGAAGAATGGGCTATCTGCGCTGTACCTATGCACCGCGGATATCTAACCCCAAGTTTTAGATTTAGAAGCTCTCAAGCTTAAATATTGCTTTCGGCGAGATAACATTTACCATATCATGTTTTTAGGGTATGATAGTCTTGAACAACTAGATAGCAAGCCAAAATCATGTTGTTCTTTATGAAATGGTTTTTACCTAATTCTACCAATCGCGCGCGGAGGAGGGGTGTGATTATAAAGGAAACTCCATGTTTGAAATGGTTGAATCTTTATAAAGTGCTTATCCGAAGGGCATAAATGTCGCCAGAGGCGTGCGTTTTATTCTGAAAAAATTAGACATGGGAAAGAGTGCTTTAAAACCAAGTTGTACTGCATATCTAAATCGCTTTTCATGTAAACTAACAATGATTTTATGTGTCTTTCTCTTTATCAACAATAAGGTACTGGTGGGCTATTTGCTTAATATGTACTATTTGATGTACTATCCACATGGATCGAACCCCTAATCTTTAGTGTTATAAGCTTACTACTGGTCCACCGTGAAGCTTGGTGAGTTGAATAAAGTGCGTGTAGTGTAACAAGATATTGCGCGAATCAATGACCCTATCTACAAGATATAATGCGAATCACAAGTTTTTTTCGAACCGGATCATATATTCGAATCAAGTCGAATCGGCTATGCATATATAGATCATAGGGTATATACGCTGAATCCAAATATAAAATGGTTTCTTTATTTATGAAAAGTGTTTCTACACACAATGAGTAATGAGTATAAAAGTAAATCTCTCCGAGAACGAAAGACAAATTAAATCTTTCTAAAAACAACAGATATAAAGTACTTAAACAACTGGATGAGGAATGGTACAAAAGATTTTTTACAAGGAAATAGGTTCCAAGTATATAGACTGAATTAAATGTTAAATTCTAAAGTTGGCCAGGTGGTTAGGGCGTTTGACTCGCAATTTGAGGGTCGCGGAATCGAATCCCTATCCCAAACATGTTCGCCCTTTCAGCCCTGGGGGGGTTGTAAAGTGACGGTCAATCCCACTATTCGTTGGTAAAAGAGTAGCCCAA